GCATAATAAAAATCAAAAAATCAAAACCCGTGTGATATGTTTTGGGGCCAGTCCTTATTCATTCACATACTAGAAATGAGCAAAATCCGTTGAAGCTGAATTGACTTATGGCCATTTCCATTTTTTACTAAAAAGTGGACGTGGCTCGAAATTAGATCGACTGGCGTGCTCCAAAATAAGACGTTCAAACCTCTCCCATAGGAGTATACAACTAACTACAACTATATATAGTATGTATAGTATACTATGTATAGTAACAACTATATGCAATTTGAAACATGTGGGTCAAACGGTTCTTGAGTTATCGTTGACCGTAGCCAAATGTTGACGGACGGACGTACGACGGACGACACCCCATGGTAATAGCTCATCTTGACGATGTCAACGCAAGCTAAAAATGCATCTACCCTATCTGTCGAGCTACTCCAGATGCCGATTGACTTGTCATGAGAAATCGAAGATGTGTGTGTAAGGTCCATTGGTGTTGATGCTGAGTACCTGTCTGTTTCCGTACGTACCAGCCCTCACACACGTCGTACTGGCTTCATGATTGACTACGGAGCTGCTGAACATACGGGTACATTCGCTGACAAAAATGTCGTACAGCTGCCGTCCCTCAGTCTTGTCCAGGTTGTCGTGGTACTGAATGGCTTTACCTGGTATACATGGAAGAATGGCCGTAAAAGCCACAACTTGACATAAAAACCACTGAAAATGCAGGACATAATCAAACATGTCTAAATACATCACAAAATTGAGCAATGAAATTTTACTATATCAAATTTTGCTCAACACACTTCACCTTAAATAAATCTGACAGACTGTCATCACAACTCGCTTCCATTTCATTGACTTACCTTTCATTTTCCCACCAAGACATGCCTGAGGAACGATCAGGATGCTGCCAGGTAGATCCATCACAGAGACAAGCTTTCCAGACTCTGGCTCACATAGCCGCACCGCCAGGAGAGATGACACTGCAAGCCATACCAACCAACCCTGGGCTGATCACTATTGAAGCTATGTTGCTGACGATGCCGTAATGGGTTAAGACTGAAGCCTGGCAGTTGACCTCAGAACCATTGGAAGTGTGTTACAACTGAAGCCATATTTCTGACCATATCAGGGTGTGTTATGACCATAAAAATAATATAATAGTTAGACTAGAATGCCAATCCGCCAATCGCCTTGTTCTTAACAGATGAGGCCAGAGCAATCGACTACAGCACCCTCACATTTATGGCAGGAAATGTAAAAACTGCATGGCGATCTTTTCTAAATAATGGCTTTCATAAACACAAAACGATGTACATAATAGAAAGGAACACGAATGTAGTATATACTACAAGCTATAAAATTATTCGAAGAGATAGTAGCCGCGTTCACATGGAGCGAAAACGTAGGGTCGAAAACGATCCGAGACTGACCCGGATCAAAAACGACACGGGTCGATTTTGAAGAGAGAGTTCACATGACGTTTGATCGATCAGTTCTAGGGGTTTATTCCCATTTCGCCATTAAAAATTCCCACTTCGCCATTTTCCGTTTCGCCATTTCCCACTTCGCCAGTTTCCCATTTCGCCAGTTTCCCGTTTCGCCAGTTTCCCATTCCGCCATTTCGTCCTATCTCCCCTACCACCCCCTTGTTCGAGGTGGGTTAAAAGTAGGCCTCTGTAATGAATAAATTATAACGATTCTTTTGATATGGAGTCAACTATTTATTTGAAGAACATGAAGGCGAAATTGTACATATTAAAACATATGGATCATGTACAAGCACCCTAACCCTAACCCTAACCCTAACTCTAACGACCTA